AAGATACAAATCCATAGTATTTATAATAGATTATAAGAGAGGTCATTTTAATCCTGGCCCTTCCTTCTGCAAGGTCTCTGTAGGGCAGAACCAGTACAAAGGCAGTGGAAATCCAGGAAAAAGGATGAAGTTTACATGAGGTGGGAATATTCACCAGCAGCTACAGCTGCCCAGTGGTGGAATGAGCTGTCCTCTGATGATGGGAAGGGTAAGCTGAAGCTGTAGGGTGAGCAGTGATTCCAACATTTTAGTTATAATGAACTTTTGTCGTAAAATGTATGACTCTTTAAATGTCTATTATTGAGCTGGGCATGGTGCCTGTAATCCCAATACTTTGGGAGGCCGAGGTAGGAGGATTCCTTGAGGACAGGAGTTTGAGACCAGCCTGGGCAACATAGCAAGGCTCTGTCTCTACAAAAAGAGTTAAAAATTAGCCAGGCATGGTGGCATATGCCTGTAGTCCCAGCTGCTCAGGAGGCTGAGGCAGGAGAATCGCTTGAGCCCAGGAGTTCGAAGTTCTAGTGAGCTATGATCATGCCACTGCCCTCCAGCCTGGGTGACAGAGACCCTGTCTCAAAAAAATCATTCAGTACATGCATGACAAAGAGCTACTTGAAACTAAGCCACACTTTTAAATTTTTATTGAATTGCAATCTACACCTATTTGCTGTGAGGGACATGCTTATTTGGCCCAAAGACAATATTTGATGCACATGTGGATTTGAGGGTCCTCTGCTGTCAAAAGGGGGTTAATGGTCCACAGATGCATAATAAATTCATGCATGGAGTAAGCAGAGGTCGGAGTGATAAGCTTCCCAATATCAAAACTATATAAATTTAGTCATTTATACATTATGTGCCAGTCCTGTAACGTGTGATGTTAAGGACCCGATGGTCCAGTATGGGCACATCAGGAAGCTTGTGCAATCTCTCTCCAGCCCTTGGGACTTTGTATGGCCCAGCCTGCTCTGTACTTCCTACCTCTCTGTTCTCTCTGAAGCAAGGTCCTGAGGTCTGTGTGGTGTCATCTCCCAAAGTAGGCCCCCACCTTCTCCCCAGCCCCTGGGGCTAGCTGCAGAGAAGGTGTTTGTGACTGCAGCTTCTCACCTTCCCATGAAGCCCCAGGACACAAATCTGGGAACCTTTTGACTCTGCTGCTAACACAGCAAATAGGAGGCTCCCAAATTAACACACCAGGGATGTAATTAGGGTCTGTAATCAGGAAGTCCTTGTACTCATGGACTGTAGTTAATTTATAATTCCTGACTCTCTCAGGAAGTTGCTTTTGGCTTAAATCCTCTGGCTCCATACCCCAAAGGTAATGATTATCAAACCACCCCCACTTCTGATTCTGCCTTTACTAAGCAACCAAGGTCTGAAAACTATGTCCAAGCCCATGAGTAGATGGCAGTTTTGGGGGAAAGGGGCATTTTGCATTTCTGAGAACCTCTCTAATTTTCCTCAGGTAGGAAATATGACCTGTAAATATGGATGTTGGTCATTAACATTAAAGACATACATAGTGCTGGCAAACCTTGTCTCTAAAATCACAGATGATGAGAAACTGTTGTTTGGAATCATTTCAGTGGGAATGAAACGTCCCGGTCTTGTCTGAAGACTGGGCATGGGGGTCATTTCACATCATTCCACACAAAGACATAGCTTCAGCATCAATCCTCCCGGGGGGGCCAGCACTCCATATTTATCTTAACTTTTATACTTATTAGGAACAAGGACCCTGAGTCTGTTTCTCAGCCCTGCTGCTAATCAGAATGTGATGTTCCTAGTGAAGCCTAAAATAATGTTTTTAATAGGACATGATTCTCCCCAGACCACACGACTCTTGTGAGTGACTGACCACTGACATCTCCAGCCCCTGTGAACATTCTCCTGTCTCCTGAACAAAGATTACTGAGAAACAAAATTCCTAAACTTCCCGTGCTTCAGGACTACCCAATCCACAGCTGACCCCACTTCCTCTGGTCTCAGACTCACTGAGCATAAGCACAAGCCCTAAACAAAGCCTCTTCTAGTCCCTCTTCCTGAGCTTCTCCTCTGTCCTCCATAGCATGCAGTCTCCCTTGCTACAGCAAGTTAATAAAACTAACTTTGGGCCAGGTGTGGTGGCTCACACCTGTAATTCCAGCACTTTAGGAGGCCAAGGTGGGAGGATCACGAGGTCAGGAGTTCAAGACCAGCCTGGCCAACATGGTGAAACCCCGTCTCTATTAAAAATACAAAAAAAAATTAGCCAGGTGTGGTGGTGCACACCTGTAATCCTAGCTACTCAGGAGGCTGAGGCAGAAGAATTGCTTGAACTCGGGAGGTGGAGGTTGCAGTGAGCTGAGATTGCGCCACTGCACTCCAGCCTGGGTGACAGAGCAACTCAGAAAAAAAAAAAAAAACTTTGACCGCACGTGTGTTCCTGGTTGTCTTTTTCTGATGAGCTTTATCATAATGACTGGGTTCAAGCCATTTCCTCTCCATGAGGTCAGTTTGTAGATAGATACTAATTTCCATATGATTACTACATGCCAAGCACTATGTATATAATTTGTGCTACATATTTTATTCAAGCTTTTGAGACTCTGTGAAGAAGGTATCATTCCCTCATTTTCAGATGAGGAAACTAAGGCTCAGATTAAGAATTTCAGTAGTATACTGCTAATAAACAGAAGAGGTGGAATTAAATCTAAGTCTTTTCTAGTGGGGTATCATCCAATCAAACATAGTAAATATTAAAGACATTTATGAACAAAGGGATGAGGGGTTTCTGAGGGACCATCTGAGAGAGTAGGGGGGAGATATCTTAATGCTTAAGGTATATCTTACAGAGTGAGTCTGAGTTTGTCATATGAAAAAATGGGAAAAGGGTGCTCTAAAAAGAGTAGTGGCCAAGCACAGTGTCTCACTTGTAAACCCAACACTTTGGGAGGCTGAGGTGGGTAGATCACTTGAGGTCAGGACTTTGAGATCAGTCTGGCCAACGTGGTGAAACCCTGTCTCTACTAAAAATACAAAAATTAGCTGGGTGTGGTGGCGCATGCCTGCAATCCCAGCTACTCGGGAAGCCGAGGCAGGAGAATCGCTTGAACTCTGGAGGCAAAGGTTGTGGTGAGCTGAGATGGTGCCACTGCACTCTAGTCTGGGTGACAGAGTGAGACTCCATCTCAAAAAAAAAAAAAGTATATGCAAAGCTTGGCATTGAAAGATATGGTGAGGTTGCCAGGCATGGTGGTTTGTGCCTGTACTCACGGCTACAGGGAGGTAGACTGCTTAAGGCCAAGAGTTTGAAACCAGCCTGGGCAACATAGTGAGATCCTGTCTTTAAAACAATTAAAAACAAAAATTAGCTGGCCATGGTTCCACATGCCTATAGTCCTAGCTAATTGGGAGGCTAAGGCAGGAGCACTGCTTGAGCCCAGGAGTTTGAGGATGTAGTTAGCTATGATTGTGCGACTGCACTCCAGTCTGGGTGACAAGAGTAAGACCCCATCTCTTAAAAAAAAAAGTATGGTGAGTTTGAAAAATAGCAAAAAGCAGAGAAGTGAAAATGACTGTAGTGGATAGAAGGGCAGCATGGAGGATGAAAAGAGTAGAAACAGACTGGAGACAGAAAAGCCAGGTAGGAGGTGGTCTCTGTAATCAGGCAAGAACTAATAAGGGTTTAGACTAAGGAAGAAACAGTGGACATGAAGACAAGAAGCTGGACTCACAAAAACATTTTGGAGGTAACATAAGCAGGATTTTGACAACAGAATCGTTAGTTGTATGAAGATCCTGGACTGAATGAAATCCAGGGTTTGGGAGATTTGAAGGGATGATGACCCATTAAATGAGCTGGCAAATACAGGTGGTAAAGCAGGTCTGGGACGTTCAGAGAAGGATGGGAACACAGAATGGATGCCAAAAGCTGGGAGAAACGCCAAGTTCATGCCTATGGAAAAATGGAATTGAGGATGGAGCTAAAATTGGACTGAGGAAACTTAATCTGTAATGTCTTTCTTCTTTTCAGAAATACCTTGAAGTGATTGTACATATCTGGTGTGATATATACAAATGCTTAATTTCTGTATTTTTTAAAAAAACTTCCCAAAATTAGTGCTTGGAATTATTTAAAATAATATAGCAAACATTTTTGGAGTCCCTGCTATGTGTCTGGCACTGTTTCAGGCATTTGAAATATTTGCTCTCTATGAAGCCTGCCTTTCAGCAGTTAGCAGGCCTGGAGTTCAGAAGCCAAAAACTGGCTTCTGATTCTGACACGGTCAGTAAGTGTATGACCTGGGCAAGTTGCTTCCCTGCCGAGCCCCATGCTCCCCAACCCCCCGCCCCGCTTCCCCCCCTCCCCCGCGCCCAGGATCTATTGCAGTTCTCAAGTCCAATGACTTAATACCGCAGAATTCCTCATTCTCACAGAGCTGGTCCCCACAGTGCCGCCCCTGGACGTGAACTCCTCCATACAGCGGGTGTAGATGGGCTGGCCTAAGAACGGTTTCCAAATGGTCCTTTACGCCTCTGCCTCCCACCCCACTCTAGCCCAGGGTAACAGACTTTCCTCGTGGGATTTCAAATTTGCAAGCGAATCTTGAATATTTTTTAGTAATGAGAGAGGGTAAATTATATGTCCTAATCCCAGCCTAATCAGATTAACAGCAACTTCTGGACATTTAGTACTAGGAGCTGTTTTAGGTGCTGTGGAGAGAACAGTTAAAAATGAAACAAAAATTATTGCCTTTATGAGGCTTAGTGGACAGAGTCCAAAAAAGTGACAACGTAGTGCGCCACTGCGACACAAGGTAAAGCAAGCTGGGCAAGCAACACCAGTTCTTTATTCCTGCACGCCCTAATCCCCAAGTAGCTCTTCCGGGTCACTGCCGTCTTCGCCAGCTCCAGACTCCGCCCATGGCCCGTCCTTCAGGCCTTGACTCCGCCCACGCATCTGACGTAGAATTTCCAGGCCGGGCTCCCTGAAGTGCCACCCACCAGCGACGCCGACGTGAGGCTACTGCCATGGGGCCGAGCGCGTGTGTGGCGCGGCTGCTCACGCCACTAATGTGGCGCAGGGCGGTTTCTTCGGTGGCGGGGTGCGCGGTTGGAGCTGAGCCCGGGCTTCAGCTGCTGGCCATGCAGCGGCTTCCCGTAGGAGCAGCGTTCTGCCGGGCTTGCCAGACCCCAAACTTTGTCCGCGGCCTGCACAGCGAGCCTGGCCTGGAGGAGCGGGCGGAGAGGACGGTCGACGAGGGACGACCAGAATCGGACGCGGCAGGTACGGGCGTGGAGGAGAACGAAGGCGACCTTCCCCGGGCAGTCTGTAGTCAGGTCCCAGCCAAGGTGGCTCTGGGTTCCCCTCTTTGTGCATTTCTCTTGGAGTCACAAAGCTCCTGCACATCCAGAGCTGGTAGGGACTTCAAAGATTGTTGGCGCCAACTTTCCCTTTTCACAGTGAAGAAACTGAGGGCAAGAGATGAACTGCAAAATCCCAGCCTCCCGGACGGCCACCTCCCACCCTTGGCATCACAGCCTTACCGTCCTCACCTCTTTTCACTCTGTTCCTAGGATCCTGGAAAATGGGTTTGTGGGGACTGTTGGGGCTTGAGGATTCTGAGGAGCTCTAGGGTCTGGGTGCGAAGGGGTGCGTAGGAAGCACCAGTATTAGATGGGTCCAAGTTAATATCCTCTAGTTATTGCTGACGTTTTTAGAAACTTAAGAATGATAAACAGATTACATCTAAGAATGTAGAGTATGAGAGGGAGAGGCCTTAGTGGACTTAGCTACTAGGTCCTTTGGAGTCGGCTTTAGAACTTGGGCGAGCTTTAAATTTACAGCCTGTAATACTCCAAGCTGAAGATCAGAGTATCTAAATCTTTACGGGAAAAAAAATTAGATTTTCACAGGTAACAGTTGTTAATAACCCAGTGGCTTTATATGAAAACTTAAAGGTTCAAAATAATAATTACTTAAAAATGTAGCTTTTTCAGTGACTGACCTTAGGCCACAGTAATTCTGCTAGGCCTTGGTTTCTTCATCTCTCAATTGAAGATTGTGGACCAGGTATATCTAAGAGCCCTTCCAGCTCACAATTCTGTGACACGTTATGACTGAGATTCAATGTAATATGCTCCAGGATATCACCTCCTACCCAATTGTGGCACTGTTTTTCTTTGTACAGCATTTCTGTGTTTGTGGTGTATTGCTCCTTTTAAGTATTAGTGAATAGAAAGTCATTTGTCACTGATGTCTGGTTATACTTGCATATGGTTAATGGTGAAGGATGTATAGTGGCTCTGCGTAATCTGAGCACTGACCATAAAAGTTGAGCAGTGCTATGATACTGCTGTCTAGGTTGAGCTTCCAGGAGGCCTTTGCCCTGCTGTCTGTAAAAACACTTTGGATCTAAACACCCTCATGGAGGAACAGTCAGCTGCCGGCATCTCTGGGTGCATACAGGTCTATCTGCTTGGCCGTCCTGATACAACTATTTGTGCATTTCAGATCATACTGGTCCCAAGTTTGACATCGATACAATGGTTTCACTTCTGAGGCAAGAAAATGCGAGAGACATTTGTGTGATCCAGGTTCCTCCAGAAATGAGATACACAGATTACTTTGTGATTGGTAGTGGAACTTCTACCCGACACTTACATGCCATGGCCTTCTACATTGTGAAAATGGTAGGATGCTTTCTTTTCTCTTTTGGACCATTAACTGAGTGGGATAGTGACAGTGCATCAGGCCAAGGAGCAACACTTAGAGAGTAAACCCATCATACTAAGTTACAGAAGAAGCCCACATTTTCAGAATTTGCATGAATTCATTGATAGTGAAAGGTATGGGAACAAATATCCAGCCCTGTTGAGTTAGGATATTCCTAATTCTTTTCTCTTGTGACCGCAAGGAAGATTTTTTTTTAGTTGAGATGGAGTTTTGCTCTTGTTGCCCAGGCTGGAGTGCAATGGCGCGATCTCGGTTCACGGCAACCTCTGCCTCCAGGGTTCAAGCGATTCTCCTGCTTCATCCTCCCAAGTAGCTGGGATTACAGGCATGTGCCACCACGCCCAGCTAATTTTGTATTTTTAGTGGAGATGGGTTTCTCCATGTTGGCCTGGCTGGTCTCGAACTCCCGACCTCAGGGGATCCGCCTGCCTTGGCTTCCTGAAGTGCTAGGATTACTGGCATGAGCCACTGCGCCCAGCCGGAAGATAGTATTTTATAACCCGAGGCAAGCTAGAAGACAGTATAACCAGAGGGAGTTCTAGAGGCAGTATCCATTGCGGTAGCCACTAGCCACATGTGCCTATTTAATTATAAATTAGAATACAAATTCAGCCAGGTGTGGTGGCTCACGCCTGTAATCCCAGCACTTTGGGAGGCTGAGGTGGGTGGATCACCAGGTCAAGAGATCAAGAACATCCTGGCCAACATGGTGAAACGCTGTCTCTACTAAAAATACAAAAATTAGCTGGGTGTGGTGGCGTGTGCCTGTAATCCCAGCTACTCCGGAGGCTGAGGCAGGAGAATCATGAACCCGGGAGGCAGAGGTTGCAGTGAGCTGAGATCGCATCACTTCTCTCCAGCCTGGTGACAGAGCGAGACTGTGTCTCAAAAAAAATAAATAAAATATAAATTCAGTTCTGCAGTTATATTAACTATATTTCAGATGCTCAATAGCCACGTGTGGCTAATGGCTACCATATGGGACGGCCATAAAGCATTTTCATAATTGTAAAATGTTCTATTGGACAGTGCTGGCCTGGAGTTTAATTCAAATATTTCAGCATGCCCAGTGTTCCCAAGCACTGTTCCCAAGCACGGGGTATTGGGAAGGTAAGAACAAAAAAGATCTGTAGTCCTTGCCCTTACAGGTCTAGTTGAGGAAAGAAAGGGGGATTGTTTTCCATTTGCACTGAATATGAATCAGAATGAGGAAGAAACTACTTGGAAGCCTCCAGCTGACTCTGGTACCATTCCACAGGGCCGTCATACCTTTCTTAGTCTGTTGAGAATTGGTCATAGAGGAGGCAGTTAAGACCAAAAGAGTAGCCGAGATTGTATAGAGAACGGTTGTAAAATAAAAAGGTGGGGGCTGTACATAAAACCCTGGTGCAACATGACAGAGCAGAAGAAGATGCCAAAAACGGGGTAACTGGAGAGAGAGGAAGAGAACTAGGAAAGCATAAAGAAGAGATATAAAGACAGCATACTAGGGTCTCTATCAGATGTAATGGTGGGATGGAGTAAGAAGACTTAGTGACCACTGGACTTGGGGATGTAAAAAGAATGGGAGGTTTTACAGAGAAGTTTCTGTGAAAGAGATAGACAGAAATTACCTTTACAAAGATTTTAGATGAGGAGAGAAATGCAAAGGCAAGAAAGTTTTGTTGTTTGTGGTAAAATATATATAACGTAAAACCTACCGTTGAATCTTTTTTATTTTTATTTTTGAAACAGAGTCTCACTCTGTTGCCCAGGCTGGAGTGGAGTCTCGCTTTGTCACCCAGGCTGGAGTACAGTTGCTCGATCTCGGCTCACTGCAAACTCCACCTTCCGGATTCCAGTGATTCTCTGGCCTAACCCTCCTGAGTAGATGGGATTATAGGCACCCGCCACCACGCTCGGCTGATTTTTCTATTTTTAGTAGAGATGGGGTTTCACCATGTTGGTCAGGCTGGTCTCCAACTCCTGACCTTGTGATCCACCCACCTCGGCTTCCCAAAGTGCTGGGATTACAGGCGTGAGCCACTGTGCCCCGCCCATTTAGTAATTTTAAAATGTGTTGTTCAGTAGCTTTAAGTACCTTCACATTGATGTGCAATCATTACCACCATCCATCTCTAGAACTTTTTTCATCTTGCAAAACCGAAAACACTGAACTCATTAAACAATAACTCCCCATTTCCCCTTCCCTAGGCAGCTACCATTCTACTGCCTGTCTCTATGAATTTGACTACTTTTCAGTATCTCATAAGAGTAGAATCATACATTTGTGACTGACTTATCTGACTTAACATAATGTCTTCAGGGTTCATCCATGTAGCAACATGTGCCAGAATTTCCTTCTTTCTTAAGGCTGAATAATACTCTGTCTTGTGTATATACCACATTTCGTTTATCCTTTTATCCATTGATGGACACTTAGATTGCCTCCACCTTTTAATGCTGGTACAAATATGGGTATAGAAATACCGTTCATGAGGCTGGGCGCAGTGGCTCATGCCTATAATCCCAGCATTTTGAGAGGCCAAGGAGGGTGGATTGCTTGAGCTCAGAAGTTTGAAACCAGCCTGGGCAACACAGTGAAACCCCATCTCTACAAAAAAGATAAAAAATAAAATAAAAAATTGACCGGGCTTGGTGGTGTGTGCATGTAGTCCCAGCTACTCGGGATGCTGAGGTGCAGGATTGTTTGAGCCCAGGAGGTCGAGGCTGCAGTGAGCCGAGATTGTACCACTGCACTCCACCCTGGGTGACAGAGCAAGACGCTGTCTCAAAAAAACAAAAAACCAAACAAAAAGGCTGGGCTCATGCCTGTAATCCCAGCACTTTGGGAGGCCAAGGCAGGTAGATCACCTGAGGTTAGGAATTCAAGACCAGCCTGGCCAAAATGGTGAAACCCTGTCTCTATTAAAAATATAATAATTAGCTGGGTATGGTGGAGGGTGCCGGTAATCCCAGCTACTTGGGAGACTGAGGCAGGAGAATTGCTTGAACCTGGGAGGTGGAGGTTGCAGTGAGCCAAGATCATGCTGCTGCTCTCCAGCCTGGGTGACAAGAGCAAAACTCAGTCTCAAAAAAAAAAGAAAAAAAAAATTGTTTATGTCCTTGCTTTTAATGCTTTGGGGTATATGCAAAAAAATGGGATTGCTGGATCATATAGTGATTCTGTTTTTAATTTTTGTTTTTTTCTATTTACCAGCCTAGCACAAAGCTGAATGTTTTTAATTTTTTGAGGAGCTCCTGTATTCTTTCATAGTGGCTACACCACTTTACATTTCCTCTAGCAGTGCAGTTTCCAGTCTTCACATCCTCACCAACACTTATTTTCTGGTTTTGGTTAATAGCCATCCTAATGGGCATGAAGTGAAATCTCATTGTGGTTTTTATTTGTATTTTCCTAAGGATTAGTGATGTTGAGCATATTTTCTTTTGCGTATTGCCCATTTGTATATGTTCTTTGAAGAAAAGTCCTTTGCTTTTTTGTTTGTTTTAAAGAGACAGTGTCTCACTTTGTGCCCAGGCTTCAGGGCAGTGGCGTGGTCATAGCTCACTGCAGCCTGGAACTTCTGGGCTCAAGTGATCCTCTCACCTCAGCCTCCCAAGTTGTTAGGACTAGAGGAGTAGTCGTCGTCAAATTCATAGAGACACAAAGTAGAATGGTAGGAGTTACTCCACAGTGCCCAGCTAATTTTTTTTTTGTAGAGACAGGGTCTCACTATATTGCCCAGACTCTCTGCCCATTTTAAAATCAGGTTGGTTGTTGTTTTGTTGTTGAGTTGTAGGAGCTCTCTATATATTCTGGGTATTAATCCTTTATCAAATATGTGACTTGCAGATGTTTTCTGCCATTCTGTGGGTTGCCTTTTTACTCTTTTTAGAGTGTCCTTTGATGCACAAAAGTATTTAATTTTGGTGAAGTCCAATTTCTTTTTTCTTCTGTTGCCTGTGTCTTTGGTATTATATCCAGTAAATAATTGCCAAACCAGTATCATGTTTTCCCCATTTTCTTCTAAGAGTTTTATAGTTTTAGGACTCCTGTTTAGATATTTAACCCATTTCGAGTTAGTTTTTGTGGACAGTAAGGTTTTCCATGTGGACCCGTTTCCTCAGCACCCTTTGTTGGAAGGACTGTCCTTTGTGCATTGAATGGTCTTGGCTCCCTTGTTGAAAATGATTTGACCATATGCACAAGGGTTTATTTCTGGGCTCTGTATTCTGTTTCATCAGTCTGCACGTCTGCCTTTTTGCTAGTTTCAGACTGTTTTGTTTACTATAGCTTTGTTCTAAGTTTTGAAATCAAGAAATACGAGACTCCAACTTTGTTTCTTTTACAAGATTGTTTTGGCTATTTGGGGTTCCTTGAGAGTCCATATAATTTTTTTTTGAGATGGAGTTTCACTTATGTTACCCGGGCTGTGGTAGAGTGGCACAATCTTGGCTCATAGATTCAAGCAATTCTCCTGCCTTGGCCTCCCAAAGTGCTGGGATTACAGGTGTTAGCCACCATGCCTGGACCCATATAAATTTTAGGTTGGATTTTTCTGTTTCTTCAAAAAATATTGTGATCTTGATATAGATTGCATTGAATCTGTGGACTGCATTGGGTAGTATTGGCATCTTTACAGTATTGTCTTCCCATCCATGAATATGAAGTATTTTTCCATTTACTGGCATCTTTAAGTTCTTTCAGCAGTGTTTTGTAGTCTTCAATGTACAAGTCTTTTGCTCCTGTGGTTAAGATTATTCTGCTAGGCTGGGTATGGTGGCTTATGTCTGTAATCACAGCACTTTGGGAGGCCGAAGCAGGCGGATCACCTGAGGTCAGGAGTTCGAGACCAGCCTGACCAACATGGAGAAACCTCATCTCTACTAAAAACATAAAATTAGTCGGGCGTGGTGGTACATGCCTGTAATCCTGGCTACTTGGGAGGCTGAGGCAGGAGAATCGCTTGAACTCGGGAGGCGGAGGTTACTGTGAGCTGAGATTGCGCCATTGTACTGCAGCCTGGGCAACAAGAGCAAAACTCAAAACAAGAATGTCTCAATTAAAAAAAAGGATTATTCTGTTATAAATGGAATTTTAAAAACTTTATTTTCAGGTTGCTCATTGTTACTGTATAGAAATACGATGGATTGGCCGGGCGCAGTGGCTCACGCCTGTAATCCCTGCACTTTGGGAGGCCGAGGCGGGCGGATCACGAGGTCAGTAGATCGAGACCATCCTGGCTAACACGGTGAAACCCCGTCTCTACTAAAAATACAAAAAATTAGCCGGGCGCGGTGGTGGGCGCCTGTAGTCCCAGCTACTCGGGAGGCTGAGGCAGGAGAATGGCGTGAACCCAGGAGGCGGAGCTTGCAGTGAGCCGAGATGGTGCCACTGCACTCCAGCCTGGGCGACAGAGTGAAGACTCCGCCTCAAAAAAAAAAAAAAAAAAAAAAAAAAAAAAAAGAAATACGATGGATTTTTGTGTGCTGAATTTGTTTAGTAGTCCTAACTGGGCTTTTTTTGTGGAATCTTTGGGCTTTTCTACATGTGAAGTTGTATTGTCTTCAGAGATAATTTTACTTCTTCCTTTCCAATTTGGATACCCTTTTTTTTTTTCTTGACGAATTGCTCCGACTAGAACTTCCAATACTGTGTTGAATAGAAGTAGGAAAAGCAGGCATACTTAGTTTTATTCCTGGTCTTACAGGAAAGCTTTCAGTCTCATCACTGAATATATTAGCTGTGTGCTTTTGTTACATGGCCTTTATGATGTTGAAGTAATTTCCTTTTATGCCTACTTTGTTGAGTGCTTTATTTTCATAAGGTATTGAATTTTGTTAAATGCTTTTTCTGCATCAGTTCAGATTATCATATAGATTTTTTCTTCATTCTATTAATGTGGTATTATTGCATTGATCCGTTCTTATATGTTGAACCACCCTGCATTCCAGGGATAAATCCCACTTAGTCATGGTCTATACTCCTTTTAATATGGTGCTGAATTTGGTTTGCTAGTATTTTGTTGAGAATTTTTGCATCAAATGTTCATCGGGGTATTGGTCTTATGGAATGAGTTAGGAAGTGTTCCCTGCTCTTCCATTTTTTGGGGAGAATTTGAGTATTGCATTCTGGTTTAAATATTTGGTAAAACTGGCCAGGGAAGCTGTCTGGTCTAGGACTTTTGTTGACAGATTTTTGATTACTGATCCAATCCCCATAACTAGTTAACGGTCTATTGAAACTTTGTATTTCTTCGTGATTCAGTCGGTAGGTTGTGTGTTTCTAGAAATTTTGCTGTTTCATCTAGGTTACCCAGTTGTTTGGTGTACAGTTGCCCATAGTACTCTTACAATCCTATTTCTCTAAAATCAGTAGTGTCACCTCTTTCATTTCAGATTTTAGTTGTCGTTTTTCCTAGTCATTCTAAGAACCAAATCCTAGTTTCATTGATTTTGTCTTTTTCCTGCCCTAATTATCGTTTCCTTTGATTTTGGGGTGATATGAGATGTCCTTTGTCTCTTTTAACAGTTTTTACTTAATGGCCATCTTGTTTGATATTAGTATATCTGTCTTAACAAAATAACTGAACACATTTATAGGATGACAGGGTTCCATTAACATGTCATGAAGGCAGATGAGGTGAAATCAGTGGCACTGAGACAACCTGGCTTTATAAACAGAAGGTAGTATCTGCAGTCCCTAAAGGTGAAGGGAAGCTGGGAGGAACACAAGTGATGGATGTAGGTGGGTACCACATGCTGACTGAGCTTTTTCAGCCTCAGAGGCACTCTCAGAAGGGCTGGGGCAGGAGAATTCAGGGGAGAGGTGAAAGTGGATAAGATTTAGAGGGAGAAATAGTTTCCCTAAGTTATTCATCACAGGGCAAAGTATAGCAATGAGAAATGGGTAAGATTAAAAACAAACAAAAACCAACAGACCTTCAGCAAGAACAGGCTTCTCCCTTCCCCTCTTCCTTTAATAAACCATGTGGCTTTTTGCAGTACAAACACCTGAAATGTAAACATGACCCTCATGTTAAGATTGAAGGGAAGGACACTGATGACTGGATGTGCGTGGATTTTGGTAAGTTATTCTGGCGTATTTTACAGGTAACTGATGGTACTACACTAATCTTGAGTTGTTTTCAGTTGCAAAAGGATTGAGATCAAATTGATGAATGTATTCCCAGGTAAGATTTTTGAAGTGTGTTTAAGGTAACAAAAGCTTTTTTAGTTATAATCCAGGTGGTCTTATTCACATGTAGAATTTTCACCTAACCAAGCCAAAGTACCCTAGGTAATGCGCACCTGGAGGAAGATATATACTACATGGTGTGTATCTACTAGCCATACAGATCAGGAAGGTGGTGGACAACAGAGTAACATAGTAGAGGCGGGAGAGATTCCTTAGTAGTGGTAGAGGAAGGTTTGGGGGCTGGGGTGCATAGATGAGGATGAGGTTATTCCAGGCACAAGAAAGGACAAGAGCAGAGGACTAGAATTTTGAAAAGGTCTAACAACTTTGGGTATTAATGTGTACATAGTTTCAAAGCACCTCCCAACAAGATACTATTTACAAAGGGGAAAACATAGCTGTATGTCAAGAACTGAGGAATCTTGAGATTTTTTTCTACTGGTAAGCTAATAAGTTGTCCCGCCAGTTTTCATGGATACTGGTAAAAGCCAAGACTATTAGAGGGTTAGAGACAAAGGACAGTTTATTACAGCAGTAGCCAGCATCCATTTTGCACTGGTTTCCTGAGTTCTGGATTCCATAGGGCAACATGGGCCAGATGACACCAGCACACACAGTTGTAAAACAGGAACTCAGATGAGGGTGTCTCGGCCTTTTTGTAACTGGCAAGAAGCAGGGCTGCCTTTGCTCTGATGGTTTCTCACTTTTGTCGCTATTAACCGCTTTGGACCAGGTCATTTTGCACGTGGGGTGGGGTGTCTCTTGTGCAACGGTAGGATGTTTAGCAGTATCCTCCTTTCCAATTGTGACAATCAAAAATGACCCTAAACATTACCAGTATTACCCAATTGAGAAATGCTGTTGTAAGCAAAGCTGCCCTTTGCCCTGGAGGGAGGCAGTATCTTTCTGTTAAGAATATTCACAATACAAAACATTCATGGATAGTCAGAACAAAATGCAGTGTTTTGCAAAAAAGATGTGCGTAAGTGTGTTACCCATGGAGAATTGTCACCGAAGAGAAACCTGACCACCTTTAGTCTCTTTGATAAAGTTACTATCACCAGCATTGTTATATATTGACATATCCCTCCTATAAGGCACGCTGAGAAAGGCATAGCATCATTTCTGTGGTATTTTTACCAGGATGGGGTCCACAGTGATGCTGATCTGGGAACCACACTTGCGAACCACTGCTTTATTCCTAGAGTTATACTAGCCAGTGTGTGTTGTAAGGTAAGAAATAAAAGCAAATTAACTATTCCTTCATTGTATCTCTTGTCTGTCCCTGATAGGCAGCATGGTGATTCATTTGATGCTTCCAGAAACCAGAGAAATCTATGAATTAGAGAAATTATGGACCCTACGTTCTTATGATGACCAGTTAGCTCAGATAGCACCTGAGACAGTACCTGAAGACTTCATTCTTGGAATAGAAGAAGATGATACTTCATCTGTGACTCCAGTGGAGTTCAAATGTGAATAAAATATTTTATGCACTGCTTTAGTCATTTCAGATTTGGATTGAGTCACTTATTGGAAAATACAGCTTCTAAAGCCTGCCTCCTTGGTTAGGCTGCTCTTAGGACAAGGCTTGTCTACTTCATGGGCACTCCTAACTGACATGCAGAGACTGTAGATAAGTGGGCTAATACCTGCAACCAAAAATCAGTACACTCTACCCAAAACTTATGACACACTGCCTTTATCCTAGAAATGTCATCAGAATTTCCTGGAGTGAGTTAGCACTGGCTCCTGTGATTGATTGGGTTCTCTGCTCAGATTTTTATTAATTTAGCTTAAATGTAAATCTTAACCCTGTTTAATGGAATGGCAAAAATTTTAAAAAGTAACATAAAATGTACCACCAGCCCACTGGTCCTATTTTTATACTTTTTCTTTGAGGTGATAATATTCTTCTAGGAGGACTTCTGTAACCCTTCCACAATACTCCAGTAACAAAAGAAAGTAAACAAAGTGTTAGGAAAAACTCTGAAAGCTCTAGTTCTTAACATATGTAAGAGTATTATCAAGGTTCACATTAAGTACCATGGCTGGACATGGTATAACAAATCTGTCTATAGAGTTTGAAAAACTCAAATTCAGAATGTTCACATACAATTGAAAACCAAAAGTAAAATGTACTACACAACAAACTGCACCTAAATGATGAAAAACTTTATTCTGCGTCAAGATACCTGGAAAATGAAGCTGCATTTGGGGCACATTATACATGAGGAATGATCCATATATGGTGAGTACAAAACTCAATTATAGAATTATTTCTTAGCTAGTACCAGATACTCCAAATTACAAATGCTTAAGTAAAAGTAAAATACGATTTGCCATACTAAAAGGCTAGAAGTGAAATATGACAGAATTTAAACCAGCAGATATAAATGCAGCACCTATGTGTATATTGATTAAAAATCAAATATTGGGGAAAAAAAATATGAGAAAAGCTCTGGCCTTAAACACATCTCACCTGAAATCCAACCAGAAAGCCAGTCCATGATTTTAGCAATTTTAATTCATTGTATGAAAAAAAAAATCATGAATGCTAGGAGAATCCAGTGACAAAAAGGGCACTTTTTTGGTTAAAACTACAAAAGAAACTTGTTTTGTGAGAACATTAAGGAAAACATTTTAAATCATTTTCAAAATGTCTAGTTGATACGATCTTCAGAAAAACAGTCCGTATAGAAATTCATCTTGAAATAAGAATGAGGCAGTGATTTTTTTTAAAGGGATATATATATATCCTTTAGATCAGTGTAGTATGACTGTGATCATCTTACAAACAAAACTCAAAATCAATTCAGAGAGCAGCGTGGCCTTGGAGACCACCCACACCCAACATAATTGTACACACTGGACTTTGCTGTCAAGCTAAGGAGTGAGCAAATGAGTTTGGTATCAAAGGTCATATGTTTTCACAGTCATTCAAATTATATCCCAAAAACTTTTATTCTCTATCTTTTGACTTTTTTTTTTTTTTCCAAAGAACTGATTGCAGAGTATACAGAAGTCCTGCTATACTTATGTACTACTTTAGGTGGAGTCTAATTTTTTTTTTTTTAATTTATCAGTGCTTAAAAATCTTCCAAATACTAGTGAGGCTCATGACAGTGCTGGCTGCATGGAAATGTAGCCTTCTGTTGCCTTTAAACACTGTCACACCATCTATGACTGTCCCATTGGTCTGAAGTGTACTGGCAAACTAAGCATCCTGTAAGACAAGCTAAAGCTTGCTTTTTGCCAACTAGTTGAAAGTCCTGCATCTCTTCATTGATGCACTTTCTTTAGGTATTGATAGTCAAAAGCACAAAGCATTTATTATGCATTCAATCATGTAGCTAAACAAAAAACTTAAGTCTCCTGAAGCCATTTAAACCAGCCGTTCCAAAACCTCCTGCCACCACTTTGTTAGTACCATCAAAAACTTTCTCAACTATAAATGAAAGAATAAATGGTAGTGCTGCTCTCCAGATATTAGGCACTGCTCCGTATCTTTGAACATTTTATTTTTTTTACCTAATAACTGTGTCAAAAGCCTCAAAAAACCCTGAAATTAATTTTCCAGCTTTACTGTCACCAGCCAGAAGTAAAATTCTTAATTTGCCTGTTAGCTGATTGCTGTTAAATTTTAAATTTATTTTTTAAAAAACGGTTGGACTTCTATCATTATAAAGTATATAAAATTTTCAAAAAAAAAGGAACAATTTTGCTTTTCATTGTATTATTGAATACCTGAGGTAGTTGAGTAAAAATGCACATTTAATACCCCTGCCAACACCATTCAGCACTTCCCTTAGGTTACTCATGTTAGTGTTAGGTAAAAATAAAACTGAGAACAGTTTTTTCTATGCTAATGGCTTAACATTTAAGTTCCTGTGATAATTATTCTGATCCAATTGTAACAATTGGATTTAGGAGCAATCTGTTTGATGAATTTAGTGAAAGCATCATTAAGCCAATTTCTGGCATTATGGGGGAATATTAAGAATAATTAGAATATCTGTTATACTGTGAGACTACAACAAAGGGAAGTGCATAGAGCTCTTCTCTTTCCCTCCCTCCCCTACCCTTTTTTGTTTGTTTGTTTTAAAGCTGGGTGTCATACATTTCAGAGAGCATAAAGTATACATTCTCACAGAGACAGGAGTTCAAAAGTTGCCTGGTCCTCAGAAACAACTGGCTAGGTAAAAACTTGTGCATGTGATTCTGGATAGGGGGTCAGCGCCCGTCTGTTGGTTAAGCAATCTGTCTTTGGTTTGGCATCTGCCTCTGTGGTGGGCTGTTTCCTGAGCCTTTACTTCCGTCTTGACTGAGGTGGTCCACTTTGCAGAGCCTTCTGTTGTTGGTGCTGCTTTACCTGAGTCAGAATTTCCTGAATTTTTCTCTGGGCAACCTGGAAAAGGACAGAGCTTTGAAATTCTACTTGATCAAAAGCTACTAAAAGTTATTGTAACCCCTCATTTCAACAATTTCAAATAGAAATCCATTTGATGATTAAAGATACATACTAGTCAGTTTGCTAGTAGTCTCTGAAATCACCTGCTAAAAGGGAGATGAAAAGTCTTAATCATCAAACAATCTTAACTAATTCTATCAGGTAGGAGCATCTGTGGGAAAATCGCTTCCAATTGAGAAAGATACAAAAGCTTTTCCATTTTAGAGCCCACTTGCCTGGCAAGCATAGAAGTGACCAGTTATTTTGACAACCACTTGGTCATTCTCATCAGGTGTCTGGTCACGAGGGACAACAACTTCTGCACTTGACAAATTCTGAAGTTCATTCACCTGAAAGAGATAAATATAAATCACATTAAGTGGCAGTTTTAAAAGCTTCCTTCCTGAGCACTTACTGTGTGCCAGACACTGAGCTATGTATGGCTTTACAAATTTCATTTAGTCCACTAGTAATTCCATGAGGTTATTAGAATTATCCCCATTTCAAGATGATTAAGCCTCATCCAAAGAAATTGATTTGTGCAGTTACACAAGTGAATGGCAAAACCAGATTCAAATCCTGAGTCTGATTCCAAAGTGTATGTACTCAGTCACTTCAAAATTATAAATAGCTTTGAAACCCACTTATATGTATTAGAAACTAGAAACAGTTTGCTTTTTTTCCATTACAGATGTAACTAGCTGTAGATGAAATTCTTAAAATTCCTGTTAAGTGTTTGTTCAATAAAAAGCTAAAGTTTTATCAAGAGAACGTTAAATGCTCTTTATAAATATAGGACAATCCTCTCACACAAAGTGATCTGAAAGAGATGCATTACTTTCACTAATAGCTGGCGCCAACACTCAGACAGGAAACAAAAGGCAGTCTTCTCCAAACCTTGGTCAAGATGGTCCTGCTTTTTATAAATTAGCCAAAATTCGGGGACTTGGAACTCCTAAGTACCTTTCAACGCTTTCCCTTTCATACCACTGCACAGGTTTTGCTGAAGTACTTGCCGTTTTGCCTCCTTTTCCAATAACTCTGCCAGCAGCAAAGGATGGCACTCTGATATGAGCTTCAAGTTTCACCTCTTCTTTAGGACTAACAAAGTTTTCTTCTTTAATTTTTCCATAAATTCTTCCCTGAGCCTACAGATTAAAACACATCCTATTAGTGTCATTCATGTATGAAATGGAAAAGATCAGTTAACTCGAAAGTGGGATATCCCAAATCCAAGTGGGATAGCCCTTTGCAGTGACACATCTACATTTCATAGATTATTGAAAATAACATAGAAGAGAGCAGTTAGGAAGTCCTAAAAGGTTGACAATAACTACTACCCATCACAGTAGAGGCAACTGAATGCTTGGTGGAAGAAGGATAAGCCATATTCTTCTGATGAAAATAGTTAAAGGCAGTTAATAGCCTAATAAAAATAAATTTTTGTGGGCAAATGGCCATTTGTACTAAAATTGTGGTAGGTAAAACTTCTCATGCTGGCCATAAGAAATTAATTGCATTTTTCTTTCCTTTTTTTTGGAGATGGGGTCCTTCTGTTGTCCAGGCTGGAGTGCAGTGGTGTAATCATAGCTCACTGCAGCTTCAACCTCCTGGGCTCAAGCGATCCTCCCACCTCAGCCTCCTGAGTAGCAGCTGGGACTACAGGCATGCAACACCACACCTGGCTTTTTTCTTTTGAGACGGAGTCTTACTTTGTTGCCCAGGCTAGAGTGCAGTGGCACGATCTTGGCTCACTGCAACCCCTGCCTTCCAGGTTCAAGCAATTCTCCTGCCTCAGCCTCCCGAGTAGGTGGGATTACAGGTGCCCGCAACCACACGCGGCTAATTATTTTTGCATTTTTAGTAGGCATGGGGTTTTACCATGTTGGTCAGGCTGGTCTCGAACTCTTGACCTCAAGTGATCTGCCCACCTCAGCCTCCCAAAGTGCTAGAATTACAGGCGTGAGCCACCGTGCCACTAATTTTTATAGAAATGGGGGTCTTGCTATGTTGCCAGGTTCATCACAAACTCCTGGGCTCAAGAGTCCC